AGCAAATCAACCGAAATACCCAAGTATTTATAAGGGTCGACAAACTCAAAAGGGACACCATTTGAAGATGAAATAGAAGGAAGGACTGCTGGTACTGACTTCCTGTTTGAAAACAACATCCCTTTAGTTTTGTCAGCATTTAGCACCAGTTTGAGATGGACCAAATCTGACTGGATGATGTCGAGAGTAGACTGTAAAAGCTGGAAAGCCTTATCAACTATTTTATCTTCACAATAAACAACTGGAGCAGCGTAGAAATGTAAAGATGCACCAGGAATGAACTGATCTACATTACTTATGTAGATTGTGAAGAGAGTGGGTCCTAACATTGTGGTACACCATTGTTAACAGTTAGATATCTGGAATAAGTACCATAATGTTGAACACATTGCCTCCGATCTGAGAGATAATTAGTGAACCAACCAATAGTGTGATCAGAGAAACCAATTTCAGAGAGCTTCATACAGAATAATAAAGATATTTTGTTGAAGCAGTTATCCAGGACAGACCCAGAATAGAACTGTTGCTCCTCCACATCCAGAGGAGCCAGATAAGGAAGTTCAGACATCTGCTCAGAATGGACCCTGAACTCCTTAAGGATCATTACAGTAACAGTTTATATTTCAAAATAATGAAACTTAACCCTGCTTATACTAACATTTAGTTACATCAGCTGAATCTAAAGTTAATTTGAGTTAACCCAGTCAGATTGTAAATGGTAAATGGACTGTACTTATACAACGCCTTTCAATCTTATTTCAAGATACTCAAAGCACTTTACACTCATCACTCATCTGTGCCTCATTTACCCATTCATACAGCACTCTACGAGAGTTCTACAAAGCTAATTGAACAAATCATTCTAATGAGACTAATCAGAGCTTTATCACATTCATATACCGATGGGACACACATCAGAGGCAATGAGGGGTTCAGTGTATTGCCTAGGAACACTTCAACATGTGACTGCTGGTGGATTCGAACCCCCAACTCTCGCATTGGAGGACGACTGTTCTAACCACTCAGCCACAGCCGCCCCTCATTAAATCAGCAATTAAATTAAAATATATGGTTATGGAGTATGTTATGCTACAAACCTCCACTCTTAAAGTTGGTACTTTTCATAATTTATTTCTAAACTCTTATGGTTTGATTCTTAAAGATTCAACTTCATTACGGAATAATTTGTTTTTGTCCTATCAAAGAAAATACTGTATTAGTATTTATTTCATTATATTCATAGCAAGATGTCTTTTTTACTTCTCATTTGTTGAATTTTTATTGTTTTAATGTTCAAGTCATACAAGTTCAACGTCATATCATGTAACTAAGTTTACATGTGTTTGTTTATGTTAATGTTTCTGCTCGCTTGGGTGGAGTTTCAAGAACAACACACCCTTTCATATGTGTACAGACAAGCCCTGCCAATCCGGCACATTCAGTACAGCACTTGAAGTGACCCCTGGTGGGGAAAGTGGGATAACGAGAAGCATCAACCCAAATGCATTTTTTCAGTTAATAAAGAAATTATGAAACTGAACCAACAGTGGGGACCCTGGCGGTCTGATCCTCGGCTACAGAAGCTGGTTACTGGGACGTGGAATGTCACCTCACTGGTGGGGAAGGAGCCTGAGCTGGTGTGTGAGGTTGAGCGGTTCCGGCTAGAAATAGTCAGACTCACCTCTATGCATGGCTCTGGAACCAGTTTCCTTGAGAGAGGTTGGACACTCTTCCATTCTGGAGTTACCCCTGGTGAGAAGCGCTGAGCAGGAGTGGGCATACTTATTGCCCTCCCTCTTGGTGCCTGTGTGTTGGGGTTCACCAGGGTGAATGAGAGGGTGGCCTCCTTCCACCTACGTGTGGGGGGACGGGTTCTGACTGTCGTTTGTGCTTATGCTCCTTGGTGGCAGGGCCCCAGGGGTGGATGAGAATCGCCCAGAGTTCCTTAAGGCTCTGGATGTTGTAGGGTTGTGTTGGTTTACGCGACTCTGCAATATTGCGTGGACATCGGGGGGAAGTTCCCCTGGATTGGCAGACCGGGGTAGTGGTCCCCTGTTCAAAAACGGGGACCATAGAGTGTGTTCCAAATACAGGGGAATCACACTCTTAGGCCTCCCTGGTAAGGTCTATTCATGGGTTCTGGAGAGGAGGGTCCATCGGATAGTCGAACCTCGGATTCAGGAGGAGCAGTGCGGTTTTCGTCCTGGTCGTGGAACACTGGACCAGCTCTACACTCTCAACAGGGTCCTGGAGGGTGCATGGAAGTTTGCCCAACCGGTCTACATGTGCTTTGTGGACTTGGAGAAGGTGTTCGACCGCGTCCCTCTGGGAACCCTGTGGGGGGTACTCTAGGAGTATGGGGTACCCGGCCCTTTGATACGGGCTTTTAGGTCCCTGTATAACTGGTGTCAGAGCCTGGTCCACATTGCTGGCAGTAAGTCGGGTTGTTCCCGGTGAGAGTTCGACTCCGCCAAGGTTGCCCTTTGTCACCGATTCTGTTCATAACTTTTATGGACAGAATTTCTAGGCACAGCCAAGGTGTTGAAGGGATCCGTTTTGGTGGCCTTAGGATTGCGTCTCTGCTTTTTGCAGATGATGTGGTCCTATTGGCTTCATCAGATTGTGATCTACAGCTTTCGCTGGAGCGGTTCGCAGCCGAGTGCGACACAGCCGGAATGAGGATCAGTTCCTCCAAATCCGAGGCCATGGTCTTGAGCCGGAAAAGGGTAGAGTGCCCTCTCCAGGTCAGGGAGGAGGTCCTGCCCCAATTGGAGGAGTTCAAGTATCTCGGGGTCTTGTTCACGAATGAGGGAAAACGGAGTTTGAGATCGATAGGCGGATAGGTGCAGCATCTGCAGTGAAGCGGGAGCTGTATGGGTCTGTCGTGGTGAAGTCTCTTCAGCTGAGTCAAAAGGCGAAGCTCTCAATTAACCGATTGATCTACGTTCCTACCCTCATCTATGGTCATGAGCTTTGGGTTGTGACCGAAAGAATGAGATCTCGGATACAAGCAGCCGAAATGAGTTTTCTCCGCAGGGTGTCTGGGCTCTCCCTTAGAGATAGGGTGAGAAGCTCGATCATCTGGAAGGGACTCAGAGTAGAGCCACTGCTTCTCCACGTCGAGAGGAGCCAGTTGAGGTGGCTTGGGCATCTGGTTAGGATGCCTCCTGGACTCCTCCCTGGTGAGGAGACCTAGAGGTAGACCCAGGAAATGCTGGAGTGACTATGTTTCCCGGCTGGCCTGGGAACGCCTCGGGATTCCCCCGGAGGAGCTGGCCCAAGTGGCTGGGGAGAGGGAAGTCTGGGTCTTTCTACTTAAGCTTTCCAAACTTCACCCTCACTGATCTTTCCCACTTCCTGGTCCACAGTTTCTATGACCTCTACTCTTCTTTCTCTTTCATTCTCTTCATTCAATAGCTCCTCAAAGTATTCCTTCCATCTTCCCATCACACTCTCATCACTTGTTAGAACATTACCATTTATATCTTTAACAAGCCTAACCTGCTTCACATTCTTTCTAGACTGATCCCTCTGTCTCACCAATCGGTACAAGTCCTTCTCATCCTCTTTAGTGCCCAGCCTCCCATACAACACATTATATACCTTCTGCTTTGCCTTTGCCACCTCCCTCTTTGTTCTACATCCCATCTCTTTATATTCCTGTCTCCTCTCTTCAGTCCTCTCACTGTCATATTTCTTGGCTAACCTCTTTCTTTGAACGGCATCCTGCACTTCACTATTCCACCACCAAGTTTCATTATCATCCATTCTCTGTTTAAATGACACACCAAGTACCTTCCTACCTGTCTCTCTTACTGTTGCTGTAGTAGCCCAGTCATTTGGAAGCTCTTTCTTACCACCCAGAGCCTTTAACAGCTCCTCTCTGAATTTCTCACCACATTCTTCCTTCTTCATCTTCCATCATTTGTTCTTCTTCTCTGATATTCCTGTTTTTCTCTTCTTCACAACAGTCATTCTCTACACAACCACCCGATGCTGTCTGGCCACGCTCTCCCCTGCCACAACCTTACAGTCTTCAATCTCCCTCAGGTTTCCTCTTCTACACAGAATGTAGTCAACCTGCATCCTCCTTCCTCCACTCTTATAGGTCACTCTATGTTCCTCCCTATTTTGGAAATACAGTGCCTTGCGAAAGTAAAAAGTTTGACACATCCAATAAATTTCATTCCACTTCACGATTGTGTCCCACTTGTTGTTGATTCTTCACAAAAAATAAAAAATTCATATCTTTATGTTTGAAGCATGAAATGTGGCAAAAGGTTTAAAAGTTCAAGGGAGCCGAATACTTTCACAAGGCACTGTAATCTTCTGACCATAAAATCCTTGAACATGGACTCCTTCTCCCCTCAGAATGTCTTATATGGATATGTATCTAAAAATCAAAAAGATGAATGCTTTGCTAATAGCATTACCATAATCGTAAAATTTTATATACATAAATGCAGATGTGGCAGATCTAAGCCATGGTCTGTATTCAAACAAGAACTCCAGATGTTAAAACTTTCATTGGACAGTGTTATAAAACCACAAGCAAAAAAAATTCTTATCACCTCGCTCAGATAATAAAGCCCTCTGACAATTTATTTTAATGGATACATATGTTAATTTTTTATTGATTTTATTTTTTCATGTTTTTGTGCTACTTCTCTGTTCCAAATATGTTAATTAAATTTAAATTTGATCTGTACAATATGTCATACTGTGTGCAAGTGTCTTAGGAGGTAGAGGATTCTTAACATGTATCATTTTGTGATTTGTTCTTGTGTTTTATAAATAAAGTTTTTAACAAAAGAAGCAGCATTAACTTTTTGATAGATATCTGTTTGACCTTGTTTGTTGTGACTAAATCTTCTAAACACGCTTTAGTTTGGGCTGAAAATGCGTTTTAATTTGCCACTCTTAAGCTAAACGCGAGCTCCTCGGCCGCGCGCCTTCGTCATGAGTCCGCCGGTGACGCGCACGTCCGTTCCGTCAGAGGTGGGCGGGGCCAGCGGGCTGCTGCAGCTGTCCATGGTGGTAAAGCGGAGCCGGAGAGGGTCACGCTGCAGCTTCTGAGACCACAGCCCGTCCGGATCGTTAGTTTGTCTACAGAGAAGACTGAAAGGTGAGTCCCCCCCACCCCACCCCACCCTCACCCGCTTCTTTCAGGGTTCCTTCCGCTGCTGCTCGGAGAAGAACAGAGAAGTGATGATCCAGCCTGCTGGCATGAAGAGAACAGGCCAGGACCCAACATGGATGCTGCGCTGCTGCAGCTCAGGATGCTCCTGCAGCATCGCAGCTGAATCCTCCCTGCAGGATGAGCTCCTTCAGCTGACAGCAGCTCTCACATCTGACACATTTCAGCTCAAATCTGAAGACTTCATCCGACGGGGGCTTTAAATAGACCATCTGTCTCGAGCTGATTTGTAGGCAGGCTGCTGCTTAAAAATGAATGGCTCAGTGTTTTTTTTTTTTTTTTTAAACGTGAAGAATTATCTTTTTGCTGTGTAAGATGTTTGTTTGCAGGGATGCCAGTTTTTAATTAAGTAAAAGCAGCGAGCCTGGAAAGATGCCACACAGTCAGTGAGCTCCTAAAGCTGTTTAACCCACCGCCATAAACAAGTAAAACCAGTCGTTAGTGCAAGTGCAGTCAGCTGTTTTAGTATTTGACAACAGTGATGGCAGCAGCTGTGGCCTGCATGATGAACCAGGTTTAAAAACACAGCTTTTCTTGTTCGTGTCCAGCCCGTGGACGTGAGGCGTCATGAGTGACCACCAGAGACAGCGCTCTCTGTCCACTGCAGGGGAGTCTCTCTACCACGTGCTGGGAGTGGACAAGCTGGCCACAAACGACGACATCAAGAGGTCTTACAGGTGAGGCTCTGCAGGCCAGCAGGGGGTCTCACCCCCGCTGCCGCCTTCATCACTTCATGCTCTGCCTCCTCCTCAACAGGAAACTGGCGCTGAAGTTTCACCCCGACAAGAACCCTGACAATCCAGAGGCGGCGGACAAGTTCAAGGAGATAAACAACGCCCACGCCATTCTGAACGACGCCACCAAGCGTAACATCTACGATAAGTACGGCTCTCTGGGGCTGTACGTGGCCGAGCAGTTTGGAGAAGAGAACGTTAACACTTACTTTGTGCTCTCCAGCTGGTGGGCGAAGGTGAGGGACACGGAGGAGTCTTTGGTTTGGTTAACGCTCCTCTCTCAACACGAGCTTGTGTTTGCTCCTGCAGGCGCTGTTCATCTTCTGCGGCCTGGCCACTGGATGCTACTTCTGCTGCTGCCTGTGCTGCTGCTGCAACTGCTGCTGTGGGCGGTGTAAACCCCGGCCCCGCGAGAGCCCGGACCAGGACTTCTACGTGTCCCCCGAGGACCTGGAGGCTCAGCTCCAGTCTGACGAGAGAGGTGAGGCCGAGCGGCTGGTGTCGCTCCCGTTGCTCGCAGGTCAGTGATGTCATCCAGTGATGTCATCGGCGCCTTAACGTGTGTTTCTGTGTCGAGCAGAGGCCGGGGGCGAGCCCATAGTGCTGCAGCCGTCAGCTACAGAGACAACCCAGCTAACATCGGACGGACATTACACCTACCACACCGACACCGGCTTCAACTAACCCACCCCCTGTCAGCCACACCAACACCGGCTTCAACTAACCCACCTCCCCCCATCAGTCCCAACCTGGAGGGTCCAGCCTGCTTCCCTGCTCCACCTCAGACAGATGACAGAAAGAGGCGATCCAACGAGAGCCATGGGGGGGGGGACGAGCATGCACGGCCTGAAAGGAACTGATGAAGTCACATTTCCCTGCACCCCTCCCTGATCGTTTCCCCCCCTCCCCAGAAAGAAGAGAAGAGAATCAACTCATTTGTTTCCCTTTGATTTCTTCTTCGTTTGTTGACCTTTAACCTCGCAGGTCACCTGACCTTCCTCCTGTCCTTCATCGTTTGCATCATCATGGTGTAGCATGCTCTGTGCTGGACGTCGTCACCTTTTCTTTATTCTCCTCCAGAGCGTGTGTGAAGGAGTTCAGACCACAGGGAGGAGGTCCAACTGATGTTCAAGAGCCACACTTCAGGGAGGTGCTGGTTGGAGACTTGGTGGTCTCAGGTGGTCTCAGGAGGTCTGTTTCATCATAGAACCTTCAAGAACTGATCCACATCTGCACGTCTAATTTTCAGTCAGTGTTCTTTCAGGACTAAACGCTTGCTGATGGGTCCGCTCGTTTCTCGTGTAAACGTTTTGAGCCATCCGGTGGTTTGGGGGCGGAGCTTTATGATTTGCAGACAGGTTTTCATAAACAGTCTTTTTTTTTTTTTAGCTGCAGCACGTTGTTAAATATTTTAAGCAAACTTTCATGTTTGATTTGTTTTGTCTTCCATTACAAATCTGATGGATTCACTCCAGAACCCCCAGACCCACCCCCCAAGAAGAAATGCCACAAAAACAGAGACATTAACATTTTTTAAACCAAACTCATTCAAACTTGAAGGTTTTTGTTTTGAGCTCCACTGTTTTTAATTTTGAGTGGACCAGCTGGATGTCCATCAGGAGCTCCAGGTGGACCAGCTGGATGTCCAACAGGAGCTCCAGGTGGACGAGCTGGACCAGCTGGATGTCCATCAGGAGTTGCAGGTGAACCAGCCGGATGTCCATCAGGAGCTCCAGGTGGACTAGCTGGACCAGGTGGACCAGCTGGATGTCCATCAGGAGACCCAGGTGGACCAGCTGGATGTCCATCAGAAGCTCCAGGTGGACCAGCTGGATGTCCATCAGGAGCTCCAGGTGGACCAGCTGGATGTCCATCAGGAGCTCCAGGTGGACTAGCTGGACCAGGTGGACCAGCTGGATGTCCATCAGGAGACCCAGGTGGACCAGCTGGATGTCCATCAGGAGCTCCAGGTGAACCAGCTGGACATCCATCAGGTTATTATTGTAATCACGACGTTTTTGAACTGATCAGTT